ACGCAGTTTGAATCGCTGACTATAAAAACTATGCTGTGCAAGGCGTAATAAATTATATATTCAAAAACCGCTAGAACTTTCTCTTAAGGCTGTTTTTGCCATGAAGAACAGGCTTTGTGCGGTAATTTTGTTGGATCACCTGAAATTTTTTTTTTTTTTTTGACTAGTCTTCATGTTCGTATCCTTGCTTTTAAAGCTTTGTAAAGAATTGTGAATTTACCGGTTCAAGTAAGTAAGATTAACTTAAGAACTGTGAACTTACCATGCGAAAGATTTGCTCGATGCAGTCGAATAATGTTATTTTTTATTTTCAGCCCTACGATTGAGTTCGTTTACGCGTCAACTGAATGCGGAACGAGAACGTGAACGAAAACTTGCTCGTTTACCACCGGAAATACTGTCAAAATATACAGCCAAGAAAAAGCAACTAGAAGCGGTTAGCATTTTCTTGTATAGTTGATAAGACAACACTCAGTGAAACCCCAACATCTTAGTTGTCTATAAGTATAATCCGCAGACTGTAATTTTTAAGTGCAAAATTACGATTTTTATAAATATAAGATCTTTAATTTTTAAGTGTAATGCTTAGTACAAAATTTTGTAAGTAGTTTTCCTTTATGAATATAAAATTGTGATTTGCAAACTATGTGAGTCTGGCGGAACTGTGGCTAAATATACAGGGAAAAAAAGATTCGGGAGACAAGTGGAAAAGGCCGGTTTTAGAAATTGTAGTAAAAGTCAAAAAGTTGCAGAGCACCTGCAACGTACGGAAGAGCTGTTAATCCATAGTGTGTATCTCTATCTTAACACTTTACGTACACTACTTTTTTGTGATTTCCGCGCCCACATCATACACTTAAGCCAGTGATGAGGGAGTGTCCCCCCGTCCATGTAAAACTTAATGAGTTCGAATCCAGCCCCCAGATTTACATGGTTCTCACATGCGAGCCAGCGAAAATTATTGGCAGGTAAACTGTTAATTCGGGAACCAGGAAAGCTAGGAAGTTGAAATTCTTGTTAAAAGATTGCTACTTTGTAGGCATTCAAAGGAGACCGAGAGACATTTGTGTTTGTTACAAAAACATTGATTCAAAAAGATCCAAGTTTGGAAGATCGGTTATCGCTGGCGCTCACTGAAGCGATCCGAGATATGGAGAGTGCATTCATGCAAAAAATGGATCATTATCTGGATCAGTTGATTATGTTCATCTCTATGTAGCACTGCAGTGGTGATAATAACAATCAGTAGCGTGATACGTGCATTTTGTTTAAAAAAAAAACAATAGTTTTGCCAAAAATTCCATTCCTTCTTTATTCTTATTACAGTGTACCGGATTTTGATGAGGAAAAAAACCTCGGTAGCCTGAGGGAAAATTTGAGGTAGAAATTTGGATAGAAATTGAGGTAGAAATTTTTTTTTTATTGATATGTGATAGGAGGGAAAAGCTGTGATTGGGAAAAAAGTGATTTTTTTTTATTTTCGTTTGTTTTGCAGCTGAAATAACACAATTTGTCTTGTACGCATATTTTGCTTTAGCATTTTTTGCGGTAAAAATACGATGATATATTTATTTCATCAATCGGGAAACCCTATTCATGATTGATGATTCATTATCATTTTTAAGCCAGAAATGCTTCAAAAATCCACTTGCTTCGTTATATATATGTATACTTTTAACGATGAAGGACAGAGATCCCAACGCTTAACGGAGAGCCGATGGCGTTTTTATCATGGAAGATTTGCTGTTTTTGGCTACTGAGCAGAAGCAGAAGCAACAGCAGCGGGATATACTACACGATTTGTTATACATTTACATTCATCAAACATGGAATCTACAAGCATTGCACTGCTCAGCTACTCTATTATCGCGGATTTTAAAAAAAAATATTTGAAAAATTGGAAAAGAAGGGAAATATTATTGCGAATTTTAAAGAAATATTGGAAAAAACTCGCAGTGGAAGTTCTACATGTTCAATTTTATCCTTTTCTCCTTTTTTTGCCCCATTTGTAGGTTACATAGTAATTTTTTGCGCAGTATTGTGTTCGTGTCTCATTGTGTGTGTGTGACTGTTGCGTGAATGCTTCGAATGACAATTGTCGCTGTTTGTGTTTTATGGCAAAATAAATTTTTTTTTACAAGTTGCTGTATCTTCGTTATTTTTTAAGCGAGCTTTCCCCACGTCTGAATGTTT